CAGACTCATGAAAGACATTGTTTACAGGGTCAAATTGCAAAGATTGTTGCAAAGCATCGCCGAAAGCCCAGTCTAAACACGGATTCTCGTCAACTTTCGCTACTTTTTGTGACCAAGCGAGCCAGTCCGCTAAGAGCACACTCACTTCTTACGGCTAGATACGGCGAGACCGTATAAAAGCGGATGGTGTGTGCACTAGAACAGAGCAGCTTTAACGATGATCTCGATAGTCAACTTGCTTACATTTCTAGTACTCATGCAAACATCGCCGACTCTTGAGAGCAACATAAAATTAACTGCCAAGCTATCCCAAGTAAGTTATTTCCTCCTCACTTTACAATCTTCCCTCTTGTCTATTATTATGTCTTGGATTGCTACACAAAGGTACAGGTGGGATTTATTGAATAGTAAATTGTTTTTAGCAAAAATCAAAAAATTCCCGAAATCCACGGCAACAAACGGCGATTGCTTGCTTCGATCAGTGCATTGCCCAGTGTATGCCCCAAAGCAAGAGTCAAGATTCCATCGCTGGTACGAAATTTTACTTGCACGATTGACGTGGTCGTGTATATCGAACCCAAAATCGTTTCAGAATGTATCAAAACATGCTGTACTCGCTGTGGACTGAATAGTCAAAATTTTATCATGCCACCATTTAATGCGCCAGCCACTGCTCCATCACCTACGTATACTCCATCGTCTGCTCAGTTACAGGCACTACCGTCTGTAACGCAATCCAAACCACCACTCCAACCGGTGACAAGTCCGCAACCTCTACCAGTAACTCAATCACAGTACTCAGTGATGCCGGTACAATCCATGCCTCAGGCACAAGAAGCACTTTTTGCGCAGCCAGGAATGCTACCGCAAGTTTCGCCTGCAGTGCAATCCGTGGTACAGTCAGGCTTTCCTCCACAAGCTTCACCAGCTCTGCAGCCTGTAATACAATCGGACTTCCCTCAGCAAACTTCTCCAGCTCTGCAGTTTATAGTGCAATCAGACTCTCCTCAACCTTCGGCGGCTCTACAGCCTATGGTGCAATCAGACTTCCCTCAGCAAGCCTCGCCAGCTCTACAGTCTATGGTGCAATCAGACTTCCCTCCACAAGCTTCTTCTGCGCTACAGCCTGCAATGCTATCCGACTTTCCTGTTTCACCAAACTCGCCAATCACAGCGATGAACTGCATGCCAACGTGTGAAAGC